AGTGAGGTGAGGCGGGGGGGTATCTTAAAAAGAAAGAGGAAAAAGACCTAGGAAACTGCTAAGGCCAGCAATCCCACCAAAATATGCAATAAAGAGATTTATACAATATGTAAGCCTGCCAAAGGGCAGCAAGATCACACTGGTGTTCCAAACAGGCAATATTTAGATCTAGAAAACTATGAAAATACAATTCAAATTTTAAAATAAATTATCCGGGCTGAAACTTTTAGAGAACAAAATCAGTTAGGTTATTTAAAAAAGACATCCACTGATTAAAAAAGTATGCAGTCTGAAGCCTGCAGCACTGACTGGATGAGAAGATGTGGTAGAATGCTCAGATGCTGAGGGAATTTAAGAGAACTGCAGTCCAACTTCTGTGAGGGAAGAAAAAGCTAGAAGTCTGGCCGGTGGTAAAAACCTGCACAAGAACAGGCTGAGGACAGGGATGAGGTTCAAGAATGTAGGGAAGCTTTGGAACAGGGAGCAATAGGTAAGGAGGCTCAGTGCTACTTTTTTGTAAGAAATCTCACAGTACAGATGCCCCTATAAGCCATACAAAGGGCCCTGTAGGCCGCCTAATGAAACCAGAAGGCAGGAAAGATCTCATTATTGTATGGATTCTCATGACGCTCTTACCTCGTATACAGTTCCATTGGCACAGTGAAGCATTCCGTGACCTTGTCTCTGGTCCAGGATCCAGTCTCCTTCAAATTCATCCCCATTTCTAAAAACAAATAAGAAGGTGAAAATTCTCAGGTTGCTTGTACAACCATCGAGAATTCAAGAAATAAATACTTACTCTAAGATGACCAAGAGAGAAAAAGTAGCTGGCTCAGAAATGCTGCTGGGTAAGTTTGAAATTTAACGGGTAATTTATTTATTTCATCTACTAAAAGTATCCATAGCAGCATGCAACATAATAATGATGGAAGGCACTCTATGCCACTGAGGCAACTTGAGCCTCAGGCGACAATAATGAATCCAGAGTACCTCCACGCTATTTTAATTACAGGTGCTTATAACTTAATGTTTGTTTCACTGTTTTTTTATAGTTGTAAACTGCTAAGAAGCCTATTTCTGGCATTAAATGGTATATAAAATAAAATTTTGATTGGGCACTCCCACTGCTATTTTTCTTAATGATGCACCATAACCACTTACGCAAAATTGACATCAAAAATGGTTTTGTTTATGCTTCTGCATCCTCCTTGGGCTGTCTGCCAACTGGTACTATTGTTGCCTACTCTGCTTGACTTTGCTTCAGGTATGAATGAATCCCTGACACAGTCCATGATATGATTTGTTGGTGCTGCTTTTTGAATTGACACTCGGTAGTTTCAAGCTAAACCTGAAAACAACATCCAATTAAGAAGAACAGAATAAGGAGGTGTGTGGGGGGGGAACTTACTTGAAGATCATTTTCCCTCCTCCATGTTTTTTGTTGCTATGGAAGCTTCCCTGATATATTTGTCCATCCTTGTCAGTCAGTAACCCGTGGCCTGAAAAGAGGACGAAAATGGTAGCAAAAAAATGGAAGAAGACTTCCATCTACCAACCAAGAGCAAACCCAGAAATGTGCTTCCTAATCTCAATGTTTCTTTGTCATGTCCAAAGCAGAGCCCTCACCAAGACCAAATACATAAGCTCATGACTTAGGGATAGAGCTTCTAGCCATAATAATGTTTCTTCCTCCACCATTGGGATAATATGCCTCTGAACACCAGTTGCTGGGAATCACAGGTGGAGAGAACTGTCGTGCTCAGTTCTGGTTTCTGGGCTTTACTTTGGGGCACCTGGTTGGCCACTGTAAGAAAAGGATGCTGAACTAGATGAACTACTGGTCTGGTCCAGAAGAGGTCTTCTTATGTGCCTATTGCATATCTGAACATGGTGAGTGGGGGGATATTTTCAAGTTCCACACCTGATTGTGCAAGTAAATGTGGAGGATAGGAAACACAAGTCCCTGGGGCGTCCTGTCCCCTACAAGGCATTGCACAATGTCCAAAGTGACTCCTAACTTCACTCAAATGCGCTTCCAATCAGTCCCTTGAATCAAAAGGTGTTTCTGTGCAAACAGAAAGCACTTCTATTCATGCAAACCCACCCTGCCCAGATTTTCACCAAAGCCATCCAATGCATTGCAGTCCTGCAAAGGGTGCTACTGAAAGCTGCAGAACCCTCCAGAACTGTACGGGATGTGACATGAGAGATATAGCCAAAAATCTGAGTGGGGTGGTGGTGGTGCTTGCATAAGCGGAAGTGCTTTGAACTAATGCAAAAGCACAATAGAATATAAACCAGTGCTTCTGATTAAACTGGAGCCTTTAAATCCCAAGACTCTAGGCTGGCACAATATATTTTTGGGCCTGAGGCAGGGAATTCAAATGCTACCCCTTACAGCCCACCAGTTAATATGAATTCACACGGGGCAAAAATTCATCAGGAAATGTCTATGTGCAAGAGCAGCTCTTATCCTTTCAGTGGGAATTACATCAGAAAATGTACTGGTGCATTTGATCTAACACAGGGATGGGGGACCATTGACCCTCCAGATGCTTTTGGGCTCCACCTCCTGCTGGCCCCACCCAGCATGGTCCATAGTCTGGGATGATAGGAGCTACAGTCCAGCAACACCTGGAAGACCACAAGTTACCTATCCTTGGCCCTGTGTCAACTTTTTAAAATCGCATGTAAATAAACTCACACTATGGAGTTTGATGTGTGTGTGCTGCTAAGCCCTGCCCTCTCTGGCATGTCACTCTGCAGACCTTTTACAAGTGTAAGGGCAAACGTGTGAAGCAGAGAGTCTCCTCTTTTTACTGAGGCTCCCCAAACAATTCACAACCTTTCAGACCTCTGCCCTCAAATTTGCAGAGGACCGGAATATCAATGAGCTGGAGCAGGTGGGATCTGGAAGTACCACTGCTCTCCTTCACTTAGGACATATATCTTACCTATTCCTTATAAGTGATGGTGGTATCATTTTAGAAACAGTAAGGACTCAGCTACATTAGTAAAGAAGCAGCAATTTGAATGCGCTATAAACATGCAACACCAGATGGTGCCAGAGAGCAGGAGTTTGTAAAACACCATTTTCCATAGGGACTTTTTTCTTTTGTTATAATGATCTGATTTCTGACTTATTTATAGAGTCCCATTGTCCCCCCACCCCACCCCGTGTTTAGATCCACGCTAAGTTATTTTCTCCAAACTAAAATGGAATATCAGTACACTATAGTTACTGTGCAGGAAGGACATACCTCAGTGGTTCAGCACCTGTATTGCATGCAGAAGGTCCTAGGTTCAATCCCTGCATCTCCAGGTAAGGCTCAGAAACAACCATGTCCAGAGAGCTGCTCCCAGTGTGGACAATACTGAACTAGTCAGACAGCAGCAGCTTTCTGTCTTAAGGGAAGGGTGCTGGCTGAATATTAGAACGTTTGTTTTGCATGGGAAAGTTCCCAGGTTCAATTATTGGCATCTCCAGGTAGGGCTGAGAGAGACTCCTGTGGAGAGCCACCGCCAGTCAATGTAGACCATGTGTGGGGAGACTTTGGGTCTCCAGATGTTGCTGAACTACAATGTCCATCATACCTGGCCACTAATCATGCTAGTTGGGGTTGATGGGAGCTGTAGTTCAACAATATCTGGAGGGCCAAATGTTCCCCACGCCTAGTATACACAGTACTGAGTTAAGATGGGTCAGTGGTATGATTCTGTATAAGGCAGCTCTCTATGTACTTGCATACAAATAAAAAGAACACTTGGGTGGAGATAAAGAAATCTGCTTATCTCCCACTATGCTATTTTTAATGATGTTCTAAATATGCAACCTGGTGTGTGTAAGAGGGGAACTTTCCTAGTTCCATGGCCTCAACCCTGTCTTTCAGCTTACCTTCTCGCATTCCATAGGAGAACTCCCCTTCATATTTTCCACCATCTGCATAGCGAATGACTCCATGCCCGTGCAGCTCTCCAAAGAGGAACTGGCCAGAATAAGTATTCCCTTGAATCAAATATATGATAAAGTAAAACACAGGGAGGAAATTGCTCCGGCAAATGCGACTTAATAATCCTTGGTGTTCCAATAAAGATTTTGACCGTTCTGTTCTTGATACAAGACATTACAAGTGAATAATTACCAACCGCTTTTTATTACCAGGGCAGCTTAATCAAGAACAAAGGAAGTCTTCATTGGGTCTTTATCTTACAAACTAATGGAATCGTAATCCGTATTCCTTTAGGTCTTTAACACCAAGGTATCTTAAAATGACATTAGTGCCATATTAAAAAAAAAGAAAATAAAAGATTCGTAGTATGTTCTTTATGGTTAAGGGATGGGTAAGAAGTACTTTAATTTCATAGTCAACTTAACAGCTTTTTGATGGCAGACAGTCATTCAAACCATTCATTAAAGAGAGCCGGAATGAAGTAGCACTATGAATGCAATTAGTGCCATGGTCCTAAGTCCCCTTGGACTAAGTGAGACTTACTTCAGAGTAAACCTGCTCAGGCCTTGCATGCTTGAGCCAGCGCATACCTTACCAGCTTTCTATAAACAAAAGCATTTCAAAATAAGAATAAATGAAATTTGAAACTAAAACTGAAATTGATAAAGGGTGGTTGAATAAGCAGGATTTGCATTGCATCTTTGAAACTATGGATGGTGGAAGAAGCAGCAGCCACCTGCAATTTTCCAAGAAATGTGCATCCAGTTACATGTTTACACACAGGCAGCACATTAATCTCTACACAGAAGCACCTGCCTCCATGAATTTTGCAATATGTGAAGCATGTGAAATAAGCAGGCTGCAATGAAGAAAGAATGATCCCCCCCCCTGTATTTATACCTATACACAGGCATAAGAGGATGTTTAGATTGCAGGCAATAAGCTTTGGTGACAAGGAGGAATGAAGTAACCTGAAGCCTAATTCAATAAAAGAGTCCATTGGCAAGAGATTCTTATGAGACCATATTAAAACAAACAAAATCTTAGAAAAGTGCTGTAGCTCAGGGGTAGAGCATCTCCCTTCCATGGAGAAGGTCCCAGGTTCAATCCCTGGCACCTCAAGTTAATAGGATTTCAGAGAGGAGGAGATGTGAAAGACAAAATACGTAGATTAAAAAAGCAACAGAACAAAAATTTCTGAAAAAAGCCATCCAACAAGATGAATGATAATAAAAAGATGAATAAAAAAGATGAATGTTATCCAGCCGCCCTGGAAGGTGGATGTTACAATTATGTAGCTGGGAGTGAGTGGATGGAAGTAGTTTTATACCCAGCAGGACAATTGCCTGCACTGGTTTAAAATAGGGCCCCTCTCAGGAGAGAGATGGGAGAGGAATATTAGATGGTCTAGTGGGTGTTGCATCATGAGTCCATTAGTGCTTCAGAGATGGGAAGAGTAGGGCACATTTGTATGCTTGGCAGTAACCTTTTGTATGTGAGTTACAATAGTGAAGAGTATGAGCAGTTGCTTGATAGATATAATGTATAATATACGCTGCCTTGCAATGCTCTCTGACTTTATTTATGTTGCTATTAGGCATATGGAGACTGTTTATGTATGTTTTTTTTGTTTTGTTTTTTATATAAATCATTTGACATGGTTTTTATTGCACTTATTTGTGTATACATAAATATTTATATATTCTTATCTACTGTAAACTGCATCAGATAGTAAAAAGACTACAAATGGAAATAATAAACAAACAAGCAAACAAAGAAATGATGAGCAGCAAAAACAGGCCATAAATCATAGAAGTGAGCCGTCTAGCTTTCTTAAGCAGGTAAGCAGAAGAGCTTATTTATTACATTTATATCCCAGCCTTTTCTCCAAGGAGTACATGGTTCACCCCTCAGTTAACCCCTATAACGACCCTGTGAGGTAGGTAAAGAGGCTGTGACTGGTCCATCATCATCCAGTTAGATTCATGACCGAGTGGGGATTTGAACCATGATCTTCCAAGTCCTAGTCCAACACTCTAACCAGTACACCACACTGGCTTCCTGGAGTACTTCTGCAATGGGGCAGCTATATAAATTAAGTAGGTAAATTAAAAATGGGGAAAGCAAAATGTCGCTTAGAGAAGAATCTGAAATATTTTCCTTGAAACTTGAATTTGTTTTATTCTGGATTGTTTTATTCGATGTTTTGTAAACTGCTTTGAGATTTTTGCTTTAAAATATAAAGTGGTATAGAAATAAAATGAACAAAAACAAAGTTCATTGATTAAAAATGAATGCCTAGACATTACAGTGGTACCTTAGGTTACATACGCTTCAGGTTAAAGACTCCGCTAACCCAGAAATATTGCTTCAGGTTAAGAACTTTGCTTCAGGATGAGAACAGAAATCGGGCTCCGGCGGTGCGGCAGCAGCAGGAGGCCCCATTAGCTAAAGTGGTGCTTAAGGTTAAGGTTTCAGGTTAAGTACAGACCTCCGGAAGTACAGACCTTCAGGTTAAGTACAGACCTCCGGAACGAATTAAGTACTTAACCTAGGTACCACTGTACAGTAATACCTCCGCGAATGTCTGCCTTGTCTAGCGTCCATTCCAGCAAACGTCTGCGGCAAACCTGGAAGGACCGGAACGGGTTACTTCTGAGTTTGCCACTTGCGCATGCGCAGGAGCGCTAAATCGTGCTTCGTGCATGCGCAGAACTACAAATCGCTACGCATGCGTGCATGGACGCAGCACTTTGCCCTGTGTCCTTTTGGCTAGCAGCCGGGGCTCCAGAACGGCTCCCGGCCGCAAAACGAGGTACGACTGTATGTTGTGGTGACCATAACCCATGTTTAAGGTGACATTTGGCAATTAATTAGCTTATATATCTGAGTTTCTAACATTGATACCATGGTACAATCTAGATTAAAAACCCAAAGCCTGAGCAAAGAGGAATGTCTTAGACTGGCACCTAAGAGCTGACAATGTTAGCATCAAGCGTGTTTTCCTAGGAAAAGCATAATTGTCTCATACTCTCGCCCCCTCATTCTTTTGGACTTGATGGCAATCCTCTTTTCCTAGCCTCCTGGGTTGTTAGTTTTCTAAGCCCTCACTTAAGCCACTCCCCGTTTACCTAAGGCCTTCTTCTGCTTACCTTGTCCTTTGCTCTCTAGGACCTGGGGAGTTTAGCCAGAGGCCATTAGGATGAAAGCATCTCAGTCAATGACAAAGCATCAACATTTAAGAACAGAACTGTTTCGCCAATTGGAGTCAAAGGCCCTTCTGACTGATACAAAATCCCTGAATGTATTACAATGTACAGAGAACGTACCACAAAAAACCCACCTGTAGATGCCCAGTATCTGAGTCCGTTGCCCTTAATTTCCCCATCTACGAACTCGCCTTCATAATAACTTCCGTCTTTAAACAGCAATTTCCCGTGGCCTGGAAAAATTTAAAAAAACTGAAAGGTCTCAGCAACAACCAGAAATTGCCTGTTTTAAGGAATTCAGTGGATTGGAGACAGGGGGAAATAGGTAAGATAATCAAATTAGACAAGGAGACGGGCAGTACAATACTGCACATATCTAATCATTTTTTTTAAAATGCATAGGGGTGGAGCTGATTATTTGGAGAGCAAGCAAGGGAGAGCCAGCCAGAGCAGCAACTTTGAACAACTTTACTATCAATCTCCTGATACCCTATGACAGGAGAAGTAATTCTTAAGCTTTAACTCTCTCTCAACTATTTAACCCTTGTTGCTGGGCTGCAGCTCGGTGCAACGTGGCAAGGGGGAGATCGCCGTAAAGCTGCAGTGCCACTGGCAGGAGGTGCAGTGGTGGTGAGTGCCCCACTGGTGGTGGTGTGACAGAGCAGGGGGCACTTCCTTTTTTGCCTCAAGTGGCAAAATGAGTCGTACCACCCCTGATCTCAGGATTCCAGAACTTACAGCTGTCAGTTTTGAGGGAAGGCAGGCAAAGACCCACAGGCCAGGTGGGGCTCACTAGCTCGGGGAGGAGCTTGCTACCTGGAGTAGGTGACGGTCACATGCCTCATCAAGTGTCCTGGCCAGGACACACTGAACGGGAGCACTCCAAACCACAACATTTTGTTGCAGGTCCCACTTTGTGCTGCTTAATAACACCTCTTCCAAGCTAGAATGATACCAGCCTCACAATGGCAGAGGACAAAGTTTGTTTCCCTTACCATGTTTTCTCCCTTGCTTCCACTCTCCTTCATACTGGAAGAATGAATTAGGGTAAACATAAACTCCATAACCTGAAAGGAAGAAATGCAGAAGTATAAGATGTCCAAAAACAGCAGAAGCAATTGAAATGAAGATCTTAAATACTTAAAATAAAAACAAAGCAACCCACTTTCAATATATACAATAATAAAAATTGTCATAAGTTTCCTCTATGCATTGAAGAAAAATTCATACAGTTCTGAGACTCATTTAAAGATTATTTGCTGTTCTTTGCCCTTAGCAACTGGCATTCAAACACTGATCCTACACATGGAGAGTCTAGTTAAGATGCCATGGCTAATAATCATAGACATGATTTCCTCTAATTCTTTTTTAAAAGTAACTAAGTGACCATTTGTGACAGCAAAGGCTGTAAGTTAGCTACAGGAGTGGATAAGAAAATTATTTTTGCCAATCCTGAACCTGCTCAATGGATGTAGTTTTTTAAAAGGCTTTTTGTCTTAGAAGAAAATAAAGAAGGGTTTGTTATACAAAATGTTTCAGGTTCAATCCCCAGGTTCAGTCAGGTTCAATCCAGCTAACAGAATTTCAGGAGACAGGTAATGAGAAAGCCCTTTCTCTGCCTGAGATGCTGGAGAGTGGCTGCCAGTAAGAGTAGATCGTACTGAGCTAGATCAAGGTGACTATTTCAGGCTGAAGGTCACTTGGTCACCCCTCTGGGGGCTGCATGGCAAGAACTGCAATTCTCAAGGCTGCTTTCCAAAATACGTTCCCAGCAGCTGTTCTACAGTATTTTAAAACTTTTGCAACTTGCAACTTACACACATTTAATGTGTGCAGTCAGCTTTACACGTTTGAATATATATATATATTAAAAAGGGGGTGGGCATCCAGGAAAAAAGACTTTGGCAATCCCACCCACCATTGAACCCAGTATATTTTGACTATACGCGATTTTGGCTTCACACACTATCCCCTGAATCTAGATTCAGGTAGGTAGCTGTGTTGGTCTGACGCAGTCGAAATAAATAAATAAAATGTTCAGTAGCACCTTAGAGACCAACTAAGTATGTTCTGGGTATAAGCTTTCGTGTGCATGGTATCTGAAGAAGTGTGCATTCACACGAAAGCTTATACCCAGAACATACTTAGCTGATCTCTAAGGCGCCACTGAACATTTTTATTTATTTATCCCCTAAATGTAACTCTCAAGTACGTTGAAATCACCTTCATTACTATTTAATTCAGTAAAATATATTATTTTAAATGGGGAAATGTAGGGGCAGCTTAAAGGGCCACAAAAAATCTTCTGGCATCAACGTTTCACAGCGGGGAACCTAGTCTAAACTGTGTTTAGGGGCAAGATTTCCATCATTTACACTCTAGTCGCTACCCACTGCACATCACTGTCCACAGCTCCATGGAAGCTGGGGCTCTTAGTTGTTTTACTGATGTATAGTTTTGAGATGTTTATTTCAGTTACACTACTTAAAACGTATAACTGTTATTCTCATAGGCAGTACAGTGGTACCTCGGGTTAAGAACTTAATTCGTTCTGGAGGTCTGTTCTTAACCTGAAGCTGTTCTTAACCTGAGGCACCACTTTAGCTAATGGGGCCTCCTGCTGCTGCCGCGCCGCCGGAGCACGATTTCTGTTCTCATCCTGAAGCAAAGTTCTTAACCTGAGGTACTATTTCTGGGTTAGCGGAGTCTGTAACCTGAAGCGTATGTAACCTGAGGTACTACTGTAGTAATAGTTTGGTTTTGAATGTGTAATCTGTACTGCATTTCATTAATTGATCCTTTTTTTGATGCCATTTGTAAATCACTTAGGCTTTCCTGTTGAAATATGAAGCAGTATAAAAACTTAAGTAAATCAATAAAACTGGCCAGGTTGTTCTCCCTCTAACTATGAGGCCCGTAGTTTCCAAGCTGACTGCCAAGGCCAGAGAATGCTGACCCCCTAGTTCAAGGCCAAGCGCATCAGCTGGAGCAGAGTGCTGTTTGGGGCAGGGAGGGACAGAAACAAGCTCCCTATAGTTTCTCTTTATCTGGCCTTATAAACAAAAAAATAAACAACAACAACTTTATGAGAAAATGTAATTATTACATTTACAGTGGCACCTCGGGTTACATACGCTTCAGGTTACATACACTTCAGGTTACAGACTCCTCTAATGCAGAAATAGTGCCTCGGGTTAAGAACTTTGCTTCAGGATGAGAACAGAAATCATGCTCCGGCGGCGCAGCGGCAGCAGGAGGCCCCATTAGCTAAAGTGGTGCTTCAGGTTAAGAACGGACCTCTGGAACGGATTAAGTACTTAACCCGAGGTACCACTGTACATTACCAAGGGGCTCAAGGTGGCATATATCAACCTCTCTCTCCACAACAACCCTGTGAGGTAGGCTTAGGCTGAGGGACTGACTTGACTCACTCAAGGTTACCCAGTGAACTTCCTAGCAGCTGAGTAGGGATTGGAACCCTGCTCTCCCATGTCCTAATCTCTGTGTGTGTGTAAAAGTAGCAAATAATAATAATATAATAATAATTTATTATTTGTACCCCGCCCATCTGGCTGAGTTTCCCCAGCCACTCTGGGCGGCTTCCAATCAAGTGTTAAAAACAATACAGCATTAAATATTAAAAACTTCCCTAAATGTGGGTGATAACTTTCCCTATGTGGCTCTTGTCACCTGATAGACTGCTTCTGTCCATGGAGGTTCGATTTAGTAGTCACAGCTCAAGGCTGTTCCAAAAAAACAGGCAATGCGCCCCCCTCCCCAATATTTCTTCTCATTTAAATCCACCACGTTAACAGTCCTCCTGGGGCAAGCTATCTATTCCTCCCGCCGCCGCTCACCGTCCCGACGCAGCTCTTTCACCTCCCCACAGTAAGATCCAGGCCTGGAGGCCGCCATGTTTCCATCTCCCTCGAGGACGCTACACCTTAGTAACAGATCCCTATCTCTGATTGGCTGTCCGGTTGTTAGGGGGAGGGGGATTCCTCTTCCTGGCCGGGCGGGGAGTGCGCGTTTGCTCGATGCGCGCGCGCTAAAGTGTAACGCGGGGTGGAGTTCGTGTTCGCTGCTCAACCTGAATCTCCTGCTTGAGCTCAGTGCGAGGCTTTGGGTGCCGCACGTACTTACCTGAAGGGAAGTCCCATTGGATGCAATAGTGGGGGGCTTGTTTCCGAGCACCGGATAGGCCTGTAAAATGCATTTCCTGCGCAAAATAGCCATTCCGGTTTTAACCTGCAACGCTGCAAACAATTATGCTGCAATTCTAACCCTGGCAAAATCTTAAAAGGGAGTTCCAGATGTTGATGACTAGCAGGTTTATTATGGTGGAAACTTAGTTAACTCGGGTCCCTAAGGCCTGCAATCGTATGCACGTTTTCGGAGATCAAGTCTTGTTGAATTTAATGAGACTTATTAGTAAACATGTTTTGGATCACATCTTTAACAGGGTAGGGAGGTGATCCACTTGGTGTTGGTTGCAACTTAGCCACTTAATATTTTGTGATATCTAAATAACACCACCACCACCCTCAGGTCAGAGTGTGATGTTGCAATGTGGATCAACATCTAATGATTATTATTTATAATAACAAAAAAAAAATCAATCTCATTCAGGACATGACCCCCTTGTAGGTCTCGACCCAGCTATAGAAGGTTGGTGTTGCAAGGTATTTTGGGGTTGATCAACGTGTAATCATTACCACACCGACAGGTTGCACCGCCTGTCTTAACACCGTGTTTTACAAACAAGGAGTTATGAGAGGTCTCTACCCCGAGGGAATTATGATGGTGATCAAGCTTGTCATCACAACAACCCCGTGAGCAGTTTTTCAAGCCATACTAAATATATGAAGTGGAGAAGAAGAGCAGAGCCACTGGTTCACTTCAACAACTGTGTTTACACTGACCTTCAGGGCTACATTGAGTACGGAGTTGAGGTTTGTGCCTGTTAGCACTAGTAACAGATTGGTTATTTGTCGAGTCGGGGTCTGGGTGGCCTGATGGGTATGAGGACATAAAGCCATTAGTGTTTCAGAAATGGGGAGAGTTACAGTGGTGCTGTGGGTTAAACCACAGAGCCTAGGACTTGCCGATCAGAAGGTAGGCGGTTCGAATCCCCATGATGGGGTGAGCTCCCGTTGCTTGGTCCCTGCTTCTGCCAACCTAGCAGTTCGAAAGCACATCAAAGTGCAAGTAGTAAAATAGGTACCGCTCTGGCGGAAAGGTAAACGGCGCTTCCGTGCGCTGCTCTGGTTTGCCAGAAGTGGCTTAGTCATGCTGGCCACATGACCTGGAATCTTTGCGCCAGCTCCCTCGGCCAATAAAGTGAGATGAGCGCCGCAACCCGAGTCGTCCGTGACTGGACCTAATGGTCAGGGTCCCTTTACCTTTATGAAAGACAGAAGTGCCTGGCGTGCTCTGGTCCATGGGGTCACGAAGAGTCAGACATGACTAAACAACTAAACAACAACAACAACAAAGGTAGCCATATTGGTCTACTGTAGTCGAAACAAAATTTAAAAAATCCTTCCAGTAGCACCTTAGAGATCAACTAAGTTTGTTATTGGTATGAGCTTTCGTGTGCATGCACACTTCTTCAGATACCAGAAAGTATCTGAAGTATCTGGAAATGACTGGAAAAGGGGATGGAACAGTTGGGGCAAAATGGGGCAGAACAGGACACAACGTGGTGGTGTGGGCTTATGTGCGCTTCACTGTTGCACACAGAGGCCAGGAGCGGAACCGCCATGCAAAACGGTTGTTATGTGCATAGTGGATAAGACCTAGAGGAGCAGGGGTGGATTCGCATTGAGCGAAAATAAAATCCCCCCACCCCCAAAAAAACAATTTCTTGCTTTCACAATAATTCCTTTTGGTGCTGTTGCTTCCCCCCCCCCCCAGTAGGTACCTGTATAAGTATAGGTTTTCAGTGGGTTTTATAGGGGTACCCAAGGGTACGCAATACCGGAACCCCAACCTCCCTCATGTTAAAAGTGTGGCACTCACTGTAATAACTTAGGGGCGAGTACCAGCAACCTTCCCCCCCCTAAAAAAATAAAGCACTTGAATACCAGAAATTCCTATTTCGCCTTGAAAGAATCACACGGACGTTTCCCATGCATGAAACCAGAGCAATCCCAGGAGAAGAATCTTTATTTGCATCTGGCACTAGCCACAGCAATAAAATAAAATGTATTGAAGTGGTAAAAACTTTCAATTATAGAAAATACATTTTGGGGGTTTACATCAATAATCAAATAAAATATCATATTCTAATTGAAAAAGCAATGTATTTAATTCTTTTTTATTTTGTGCCCCCACCCCTCGGACTCTTGTGCGGGGTGGGGGGTAAAAAGGTAAAGGGAGGCCAGAGTTCAAATCCCCAACTCAGCCACGCAGCTGTGACCTTGGGGGCTCGGTCGCTCACTCTCAGCCTAGCCTGCCTTACGGGGTTGTTGTGTGACTAAAAGGAGGAGGAGGAGAGGAACTCCGTGCGCCACCTTGAGCTCCTCGGAGGAAAGGAAATAATGAAACGAAGCGATGCACGTTTTCATGCTTTCGTCGTTAACGGGCTCCGGGAGGCTGCTGCGTCCCCTGTGCCTTTTCCCTAAGGAGTAAACCCCACTGAACTCCGCGGCCGCCAGGTGAGCAGGCGCGAGCATCCCTGTGGCCGGCGCGGCCGACCTTCCACCCTCCGCCCCCGCCATCTCCTCCTCCTCCTCGCCCCGGTAGCGGAAGCTCTTCTGTCGGCTTCGCGCTGCCGCCATCTCGGCAGCAGGAGGAGGTGGAGGAGGAGGAGGGGTTGGCGCGGGCAGCGTCTGCCTGGTCAGGCGGGGCGGGAAGCGGAAGGAGGGACACCCGGCGCGGCCTGTAAGTTACCCCCGCGAGGCCCGAGGCCCCGCCGTTGCCCCGGCGATGAGGCCGGGGCCCTCCGTGAGAGGGTGGGAGGAGGGCTCTCTAGGTCCAAGGGTGACGCGGGAGCAGGAACGTTTTTTCCCCCTTCCTCTCCCCCCCCCCCATTTCCAAAATAACGAAATTTCAGTCTTGGGGGGTCCCCGCCATGGCGAGCTGGGAGAGGCGGCCCTTCCTGAGGAATCAAATCTTAAAAGCGGGGCTTTTCAGGCTGGTCTCGATAAGCTAGGGCTGCACGGGGGAGGTCCTTGAGAAATAGTAATAATTAATAATAAAAATAATGACGCATAAAGGGCTTTTTTTTTTTTTTTTGCTCTGACAAACCGGGTAGTGGTTTGGTGGGGGAGGGGGGAGGAGTTGTAATGTAATGTAAGGATTTTCAGCCTTGGGGTCCTATCCATACCAAGAGGTTGAGGTAAATCCTTGCAAGATTGGTACAAAGGGTGGTTTTGCTTTATGGGGAGCTGGGGCGTGGCTTAGGGGGGGCCTTGTGAAATCGTTATTATCATATAATAAATTCCGTAGTAAGTTGGGGAGCTGCTTGGAGAGGTAATCGCAAAGTTATTATTGAGGGGGGATTTTTCAGCCTTGTGGGAGGTCTCGTCATGCCAAGTTGGGGACAGCGTGGGGGGGGGCAGGTGGAGGATACTTGTCAAACTATTGTTGTTATTAAGAGGGACCCTTACCCACATCACTGTTCTGCTACAAAACCAACTTGTGATGAGGGGTTCTTTATTTGATACTGTACATTGACACTTATTTCTTTTTCTTTCAAATGCTAGCCTCTCTTATTCCTCCTCCTTCTCCCCCACTTTGCCATAAGGTCACCTTTCTTCCTTAATCTACAGCCTCTGATTTTACTTGTCAAATCTACTCTGTGTATTTAGAGTACATGATTTCCCAACCCTCCCAAAAAAATTAAATAAGGGTGCTGGGAATTGTAAGGGTAAATATTCAGAGTCATGTGCTTTAAATGTATGGCATGGGATATGACTACAGTGGTACCTTGGGTTAAGGACTTAATTCGTTCCAGAGGTCCATTCTTAACCTGAAACTGTTCTTAACCTGAAGCACCACTTTAGCTAATGGGGCCTCCCGCTGCCGCTGCCACGCGATTTCTGTTCTCATCCTGAAGCAAAGTTCTTAACCCGAGGTACTATTTCTGGGTTAGCAGAGTCTGTAACCTGAAGCGTCTGTAACCTGAAGCATATGTAACCTGAGGTACCACTGTACTTACTGCCACTCAAATGATGATAATTATTTGGGGGTGGTTTATTCCTCTGTCCCTATAATAGCAACTGGGGTATGTGTATCTACTCTTAGTCATTGGGCTAAGGGTGATTATTTCCAATTGCACTATGTACAGTGGGATTAAGACAATCTGTTTCCGTCTTGTATGTGGGATAGAGGAGCGGGGACACCGTTGCATGTTAAGTGTGGACAATTTAAACAAGGGGTACTGAAGCCTCTCATTTTGGGTAGCTGGATTTTTAAGGTGGTGTTATTTTTCAAGTAGGTGGAGACTTTCTTGGTTTGATGAAGATGATTAAGGCCAACCTATCAGCCTGGAACTGAGGCTCAGTTGTAATCTTTTCCTCCTCCCCTGGAACAGGTTGATGAGACTACCGGGTGTGGACAGCGAATGACATACTGTCATTGAGCAATTCAGGACACACCCGGTTGTATTTTGTGGACCTTCATTGCTTTTAAAAAGCTAGCCTGGCATTCTCAGTGGATTATTCTTTATGCAATTGTACTCAAAATAACCCACATGGAGCGAAAACTTGACTATCTGGACCAAAATGAATTATGGGCAAGAGTAGCAGCCCCCATTAATTCTCCTTTTCCAAGAAAAAGACCTCACCCTACTGGGAATTCTCCTCGCAATCCCAGATATAGTTTCTGCTCCTTCTCTCTCTCAACCCAGCTCAATATCATTCAAAGCGTGGACAAAATGTTGCCTTCGTAGGGTCCTCTACACCTTGGCCCACAATCATTGTTGCCACTGCAGCCTCCTTCAAACACTGTTTATGTGACTTTGTGTCTGTGGCAAGATTGTTTGTGCTTAGTCCAGGCTCATAAAGTGTAAGCAGGGAACTGTGAGCAGAGTTCACTCTGAGAAAATGATTGGCAGCAAAGTGAATCTCTTGTGTTTTGGTGGGGTGAGCATTTTGCACAACTGGTTTGCCACGGGGGACCCAGGCTAGAAATGAGCAGATTTGCTGGTGCCATAATGGTTGTATGGGTTTGTTTTATGTGGCCAGAAGAGAGATAGTTAAGGGAAAGTGTAACTGCCATGCAGTTTGTTTATCCCCTGATGGCCCTCAAGCAAACAGCAATTATAATACCTGAACTCATAGCTTAGCAGTAAATGCTTTTGGCTGGAAAAAGTACTGCAGTTCTGTAATGGTCTTACACACTGTTTCTCCTTAACCTGCCTGCTTAAGGGGCAGTACAGCCAGCCAGAGTAGTGGCATGGTACTTTTTCCACCTGAAACTCCCCATGTCCAATAGCAGGGCACCATCTGACAACCAAGCTGCAAAGGCATGTGACTGTTAGTTGGCCCATGTTCAGGAGATCTCGTTCCCGTACTTGTTTTATTTTATATTCTTTATTGAAATATAAAAAAACTACATAATTACAAGTGCACAGGGTAAGATAAGACACACAAAAAAATAATAAAAGAAATAGGACCCGTGTAGAAAACAAAACAGAACAAAACAAAATTGTATACCAAAGTAAGACCTTTGGAATTCAGTTTTGTATTAGAAGTAAGGCCTTTGGAATTCAGTTTTTAATGTTTTTGGATTTTAACAAATTGTATATACATTTTTTTTTGCTTGCTTGTGAATCGCTTTGCGTTTTTTAAAAAGTGGGAAGCAATATTATATCATTTAATTATTTATTTATTGGATTTCTTCCAAGCCTTGAACAATAATTGCCCCAGGGCAGAGTACAACAATATAGAAATGCAATAGTAAAATCAGTTAAAGCAGTTTGCAGTCAGAATAATACAGTGGGTCCTGATATATACCAAATCTATATAGTGTCAAAGGCTAGAGTAAAGAGGTGTGATGTCAGCATGTGGATGCTAGACACACCTCTGTGGGGAAGGAATTCCACTATTTGGGGGCTGCCACACAGAGCATATTCAAACGTAATAAAGCTAAACCCTCTGAGGGTTACTTTGGCAGTGGACTATTGCGGTCTTCCTGTTCTCCCTGCTCCCCAATACTTTGGTTTTGTAGCTGCTGTGTGAGAGGTGCTGGCATCTGATCCTTGACGCCTGCCTGGAAAGAGAAACAGGCCTCTTGTGCTTTCAGCACTGTAGCCTTTGTAACACTTTTGGATTCATTCATTTTTTAAAACTCAAGGACAAAGTTATTACTGGGAGATACTGGTCTTCAGGCACCTTGGTCCCATGCCCATCTGCTCAGAAGTAAATCCTGTTGAGTTAAATGTGGCTTAATCCTAGAATTGTCGGCATAGTTTCCCCCTTAATGGTTTTTCTCAGTACTTTTTTTTTTATGGCACTTGGGATTCTTGATACTTTGTTTCCCAGGCTATCCAGAAGTCTAATATCAGATAAGACCTTGGTTGCATCCACACCATACATTTAAAGCACTCTTCTATACCAAAGACTTGTAGAAACTGTTGTTTGTTTAGTGTGCTGAGAGTTGTTAGGAAACCCCCTGAAAGCTACAGTTCTCAGGATTCTTTGCAGGAAGCCATGACTCTTAAATTGGTGTAAGAGTGCTTTATTGATAGTATGAATGGGACCCTTATTATAATTAGTGTTTCCTCCAGAGATGATACTCAGACATGTGAAACTACCTTATTACGGAGTCAGATCATTATTGATCTGCCTGAAAGCAGTTCAAAGGTCTCAGGCAGAAGTTCCCCTCATCCCTGTTTTCCTGAGAATTTTTAAAGCAGATATGCCAAGGAGTGAAGTGGGGTTCATAGGGATCATTTGCATACATATCATGTGCTTTACCATTGAGTAATGGTCTGCTAATAGGTGAGTTCCTTTTTCCATTATGGAGATCAGTCGGAGTGATTTACAGACCACTTAGGGCTTACCTGCTGGACGAAAACAGTCCAGCTGCACTGTGTGTTAAAAGCTTATTATAGCTGACTGCACAGCGAAATCAGAGATAGGTATTTCCGTGGCTGTTAGTGGTCACACCAGGGCTAGCCCACCCATAAGACAAGGTGGGGCGACTGCCTCAGGTGGCGGGATTCACTGGACCAGCAGACCCAGATGTCAGTCTTTCTTCCTGCCTTACTCCTGATGTAGATCTTCCCTCACCCATTCTTCCCTGGTGGGAAAGGAGGACCCATTTTGGGATCCTCCTGAGGTGCCAAAATGTCTTGGGTCACATCCTGTAATAGTGAAGTCAGGTGGTAAGTATTGATAGAATTTGAGCTAAAATGGGGGCCAATGAGAAATAAGGGAGACCCCTGATAAATACAAAGTTGGGTGTGGGGGAAGCAGAATGCCCCATGCAAGTCCTTTGTTGCTTACAGTTTCCTAGAGAAGATGGCTGAGTGGCCAATACCTTAAACAGGAGCACTTTTGTTAGGAGGTGAGGATACGCTGACATTTTGTTGTAGCACCTATTTGCAATACCACCATGTACAGAGGAAATACGGCCCTGAATATTAGGCCTTCAGGACAGTGTCCGACTTCTGGGTATCCAGAGAGGCACATGGCTGTGTGCTGTTGGAAACAAAGTGCTGGAGGAATAGATGGACCTTTGCTCTAATCCAGCAGGGCAATCCTTGCATCCCTACAGAGTCGCTTCCTGATTGCTTCATTCAGCATGCCATAGTACTAGTGATATGAGCTAACTTTTGCCTTCCACTAACTTCATCTAGGATGCAAAATGTATTTGACCACCCAGCCAGGTGATTAGCCAGCTGCTTTCCCTCATGACACCCTGGAGCTCCTGCCATTGAAACCAAGGTGGTTACTGGGAAGGTGCCGTCTAGGTGGAATGTTTGTGGAATGCTGCTCATCTTGTGTCTTTGTTACATATCTTTAGTTGCTAGGCAAAAAATATTCTTCTTTTCCCAGGCCTTTGGCTACTTAAATAATCCATGGCCTTTTAAATGGGGCAGGGAGGGGTATAGTTTTGGTTTGTTATTATGATATGTATTTTTGTGTTTTTATATTGTAAACCACCCTGTGATCTTTGGATGAAGGGTGGTATAAACATTTAATTAATAACCCCAATAATAACAGCTCTGTAGTCATAAATCTTTTCAGATCTGGGACCCGCTTTTAACTCAAACATGAATTTGCGGATCCACTTCATAATTTTTTTACCATGTATTTTTATGGCGGCAATACTGTTGTTGTGACCCACCTTAGGTTAGGCTGCAACCCAGTAGTTGGTTCCGGAACCCATCAGTTGAAAACCAGTGTTCTGAGATGATGTCTGTGCGCTTGTGGAATTTTCTCCCCCAGGGAAATTTCCTTGGCACCTCCTTAAGTGTCCTTTTTGGCAGCAGATAAAGTCTTTTGTAATATTTTCCTGGGCTCAGTTTAACCTCAGTTTAACCTGTGCTATACCCTTCTCCTTTTTCCCCTGCTTTATTTCATTTGTTGTTTTACTGCGTATTTTATTCTTCTGCCTATTATTGTTTTAAACCACCTTGAAAATATCACGTAATATGCGTATGGCATGTTGAGCAGCTGGGGTGGATTTATTTTTGGTCATGTTGGTCAGCCCCTGCTCTGCCACATGCGTAGGGAAGCCCCGGCCTGCAAGCCAGATGTGCCTTAGGGGCACCCAACCTCTCCACACACCCCATAGCCATTGGATTTTTTAAAAAGAAAAGCTTGTCTCTATCATTCAGGTTTTTTAAACGCCTAATTGGGGTAGAGGGGCTTGGGAGTCATAGTTGCAACCTCTTAAGTAATCCCCCCTCTATAGCATTTAAGCTTGGGAAACAGTCTCTCATTAGCTCTGAGAGTATATTATGATCCTTGTATCTTCAGTAGAACTGTGCAACTTGAAGTGTTTGTAAATTGCCTTGTTAATATGGTGAAATGATTAACTACTTGCTTATCCTTAGGCCAACCTCTCCCAATTCCTTTGTTGTGAGCTATGTTTTTTTCATGGCATGTCTTCTTGCTTTTTCTGATCCCGTTTCCTCCTTCTGTAAGCACTTAATGCTGTAGCTGTATGCTCTGCTCTGTAGCTCTGGGAGTAGAATTGCACTCTTGCTTAGAGGAGCATAGCCCCGCCTCCAGCAGAAATGGCCAACCAGGAAGTTGTACCAAGTGATCCTTTTGATGATGTGGCATAGCAGCTACTGTGGAGATACTTAGAATTGCACAAAGTGCTGTTCCCCCTTCCGTCATAAATCAAGAGAACCAATAGGTCTGCATTTTGCTCACATGCTTACTCTGTGTCACAGAATTGTGCTGAGTTGTGAACAGGAGATGAAAGCCAGGCAAAGATTTCAGATTTGGGTATCTTTCCTCCCCAATGGCAGGCAGAACGTGGTACATCAGACCGCAGAGCCACCGTGTTTTGTTTTTATTTTGCATTTTTATGCTGTGAACTGCCCTGAGATCTTCAGATAAAGGGTGGTACACAAATTTAATAATAATAATAGAAGGGGATTAAACAAATTCAGGTGTAGTGTAGTGGGAGATGAGGACCTTGGGAGACCAGGGTTCAAATCCTCACTTAGCCATCAAACTCAGTGGGTGACCCTGGGACCAGTCACAGTCTGTCTCAGTCTAATCTACTGCACAGGGTTGTTGGGAGGAGGAAGATGTGGAGGAACGTAAGAAAATCCTAGATGGCACTAGTCCAGCGGCCTGTTCTCACAGTGCCTGTCAGAAACTGGCAAGCAGGACCTAAGAGCACTCTCCCTTCCTGTGGCTTCCAGCAGCTGGTATTCAGAAATATTACTGCCTCCAACCACGGAGGGAGAGCTTAGCCATTGTGACTTGTAGCTACTGATAGCCTTTTCCTCCATGAATTTTTCCAATCCTCTTTTTAAGTCAACCAAGTAGGTGACCATCACTGCCCTTTCTGGGAGCAAACTCCATAGTTTAATAACTATACACTGCATGAAGAAGTCCTTCCTTTTATCTGTCCTGAATCTTGGCACAAGAGTATTATGCCAAAGCTCAGTTACGTTAATGTTCTTGCTTTTGTTTCCACAGCAACAATGTCAGAAGGGGACAGTACTGGCGAGTCCATTCATGGCAAACCTTCAGTGGTCTTTAGATTTTTCACAAGACTTGGACAGGTTAGTTTCACATCAGGGGCTGAGAGATGCATAAATAAAATCAAAGGAGTTATCACTCAGGGTGGTTTAAAGCTGCAACTTACAGAAAGGAACTGCAGCCAGATCTCTCACCTTCTACTTGCCCATAGGAGTGGTGGAAGAGGCATCAGATATCTGGGGAACTCTTGACTGGGAGCACTCAAATTGCACTGTGTGCACATTCAAGATTGCACCCACCATGCAGTCAGTCCTGCAAATAGTTCTGTATTTTTGAGTCCTGTTGAACTCAATGAGACGACCATGTGTGAAACGTGTGCTCCCCTCCAACGTTGTTGGGCTACAGCTCCCATCATCCCTGACCATTGACAATGCCGATGGGAGCTGGAGCCCCAAAACTCCAGTGTACACTGTACTGTAGTAGTAGTATTAGTAGTAGTAATAATAATAATAAATATACCCCGCCTATCTGGCTGCGTTCCCCCAGCCACTCTGGGCGGCTCCCAACAGAATATTAATAATAATAATATTAAGATTATTAAGAATATTAAGAATAATAAGAATAATATTAATATTAAAAACACGATAAAACATCAAACATTAAAAACTCCCCTAAACAGTATACAGGATCGCTGCTGTAATTGTTAGCTATACAATGCTGTTGTAATTGCTTGCAGTTTTTTGACAGGTGATATGCTGTTATTATTAGCAACTTGATGAATAATACTGCATTTTTTCTAGATTTATCAGTCCTGGTTAGACAAATCTACTCCTTATACTGCAGTGCGATGGGTTGCAACGCTGGGTTTAAGTTTTATCTACATGATAAGAGTTTATCTACTGCAGGTAAGAGGACTGAGCACCACTTGCAGATCCTGCTGCATGTGTGTGGAGTCACTCTGTTTATTGTTGGTTCAGAGATATTTATGTTTGATGGAAGCAACAGTTTTTACTTCCTTTACATACCTTTAACGAGAGATACATGTGATATGCAAGATAATTGTCTGCACAAATGAAATGTCACAGAACTAATATGAGTAGCATTGAAAAATATTTGATTCAGAAGATAATAGTACTGTACTGATTATTGAAGCAGTATCTTATCATAATAAATAATGAACATAATAAACCTCCTGTTAGTTTTGTGCAAGGAAAGAATGGTAATCTGAAAGCACTTCTGTGATTCTGTTTTTGTGTCTGTTTGGGTATAACCAGTGTTAAGGGTTTTCTTCAGGGCTGGAGAACCCGTTGCTTTCCAGATGTTGCTGGATTGCAGTTCCCATCATCTCTTAGCATCGACCACTTTAACGAGGGTTGATGGGAGGTGGAGTTCAACAACATCTGGAGGACCAGATTACTGCAACAGTATATGCACCTGGGAGCAAGTGCCATCCGTAGGTAAATTTACACCAGTAGATTGTTCCATTGTTATCTGTATTTATGCCAATTGAAAAATCACCTTATGAGCTGGAACCTTGGAATCATTTCAGAGTATTTTGAGAAGCTGGCCTCCTGCCACCCTCCCACCCCACCTTCTGATTACTTATTTTAGCAGTGTCCCTGTTTGTCTGCTTGCCCTTGTTTAGATTAAAACCTCTAAGCTGCAGGGAAAAATAAATTCATCCGACTGTAACAAAGTGGAGGAACAAGCACCATAGGAGAATAGCAGATTTCTGTTTGGATTGCTTTTGAGCACCTCCATTTTAGCCTTAAGATGCATCTGCACTGAGAAATCTTCAGGCTCGGGGTGTGCTTGTTCATTACATTCGTGCCCCCCACACTTGCATCTTTATTTGCTCCTACTTTATTAAGATCTCTGCCATCCCCCTAAATATCATGCTTCTCTTTTATCTCTTTTGCTCTCTCTTTTTTTCTCTCTTTTATTCCCTTTTGCTCTCATGCCGTTTGCCTCTTATTATGCTTTATTCCTTGCTTCTAGTTGATTTAGGTCAGGGATAGGGAAATCAAACAGCAGCTTCAAACACCTTTGATCATTGGTCATGTTTACTGGGTATGGTGGGAACAGCATCAGGGGGATGGACAGACAGATTCCCCAATCCTCGTTTGCTCTGGATCTGATTAACATTATTTGTTTACTATATATTGTTGAGACCTACCATTTCAGACTAGCCAACATGGTGCCCACCCACCCGATTTTTTTGGACTACAGCCACCATCATGCTGGCTGGGGCTGATAAGGGTTATAGTTGACAATATTTGGGGAGCACTATGTTGGCTACCCCCAACAACCCCCTCATACAGTCAAATACTGCAGATTGTGTGCAAGCAGTTTTGTGTAGGTAGGTGTGTTTCTGTACTTAGAGCCATGTCCTCATTTGACATTTTCTTCTTCCTTCCTAGGGTTGGTACATCGTGACATATGCCTTGGGCATCTACCACCTAAACCTTTTCATAGCTTTCTTGTCGCCAAAGGTAGATCCCTCTCTAATGGAGGACTCAGGTATAAAGAACATCACTAGCCCTGCTTTTCTCTTGCATGGGTGTTGGTTGTCGCATGAATTTATTATATATCAGATGTGGGGAAGCCTTTTCAGCCTGAGGACCGCATGCCAGTGCTGGACAGGGCCATAGGCAAAAGTGGGGAGAGCAACAAATGTCTATTTCACCTTTTCCATAACAGGCTAGTTTCTGTACGCATTGCATTAGTTATGCTCCATCCAGGCAAGAACGAAGCATCAGAAGGCTTCAAGTACACATTCCAGTCTGGCAAAAGCACACAAGGGGGGCAGGGTGTGTGTGCAAAGCAGGGCTGGTGAGCGATGTAGCTTGGGGAGAGTCCTGAGAATGTCCACAATGAGAAAAGGATGCTAAACCTGATATGTGTACGTACACACACACACACACACACACACACGAAAACCTAGAACATATTGGGGACTTAGGCACAGCTTAGTATGTTTTAAGTTGCACCTGCTATCTATGGGTATGAAGAGTGCTGGACTTTAGTGTGGAGTGCCAACCACTTCTCAACTTTATTGAGTGGCCAGACTCCCAATTATCCCAACAGAAAACAGTGTCTTTTGTAGTGTTATAACACTGTATGTTTGCTTATGGCCCTGTGTGGATTTTCATAGCAAGAACAACTGACTCCTGTAAAGTTTGAATGTAAGAGTTCAACCAGTGCTAGCCACATCCTGTGGATTGCATGGCACATAACTGAACATGACATCTTCTAGGAGTTGAGTGATTTCGTTTTTAGATCCTAGGATAAACATATAAATGATGTATTAGAAATGCTGACAGAGTTTTGACAGAGCCAGAGTTAGAATCCCTGATTTTGTATTACTACCTTCACTTCCCTGTGGATTAAAATACCTCCCCTCCAATTGAGACTGGAACGACATTGCTTTCATGTTTCATACTTTGTGGAGATCTGTGCTGCAGTTTCTCTTGCACGTAACAGCCCTTTGATCACCTGTTAATAATTTTTTGTTTCCTTGTACACTTTAATGGGTGATTTGTCTCTAGCACAGTCATTCATACCTGCTCTAAGTATGGTAGTAGTAACAGAGGGAGCCTCCTTACATCAGATAAGGCTGTCCATTGAGCTCAGTATTGTCCATCCTGATTGGCAGCGCCGGTCCAAGGTCTCTGGCAGAGGCCTCTCCAAACATCTGCTACTGAACTTTGTTAATTGGGCATGCCAAGGGTTGAACCTGCAAGAGTTAAATGCAGAAGAAAGCAGTTCCTAAGACTTTGCATTTCCTCCTCTTCTCAGATGAGGGTCCTTCATTACCTACAAAACAAAATGAGGAGTTTCGGCCCTTCATTCGAAGGCTGCCAGAGTTCAAATTCTGGTGAGTACGTTTTAATAGCAATGCAAAAGGATTCAAGTCCCTGACCCTTCGTCTTTCCTGTTCTCCTGCCTCTCATAGGCATGCCTTCTCTTTGGCCTCAAGCTTGTGCCGCCTTCCTTACAGTGCGTACCTAACAGTTGCCCAGTTGCCACCTCCCCCAAATCTCTGGCCTTGTAGTGCCTTTTCAGTATGAGCCACCTCTTCCACATAATAGGTATGCTTGATTTGAAGGCTCAACTCAGGCGTCACAAGTCCAAATATCCACCAGTATTGCATTGAGCCTTAGTCTTAACCATAACATAAATCACAGAAGGAGGGAGGGAGGGAAAGGGGAGGAGGAAAAGCAGCAAACTTGGGTACTAAACCTAGGTTACCAAGTTCTCGGAGACCAGCTGAAATGGAAACAGTTCAGCTAGCCTGATGAAATGGCTACTGCTAGGTGACAGCTACAAGAAGGGTCCAAAGACAGCTGGTTCGTCTGCATAAGTGATAGAATCTTCTTTTCTGCCTCTTAAGGCATCATAAGAGAACCTTCTGCTGTGAGGTGCAGGATAGCAATGCTGAGTAAGAGGTGGAAATAGTCTTTTATGGCTTGGATGTCAGGAATGTTGCTGTGGGCTTGGTCCTCCTTCCCACTCCTCTCCTAGGCAAGTTTCTCCCTCGGCTTCATGGTTTTCTATAACCATTATTTGCTGTGGATCAGCAAAGTATCATTAGAGCCTTGATTTCCAAGGATGATCAGAAGCCTCTTTTTGCAGACTGCAATCCAGACGTTAGCACTAACCATGAATTGCAGATTCAGGTGTCACAGCAAACTGTAGTTGGGGAAAACCAGGAAGTGGAGGGGAGAATGCTGGAGATCAGGAATGGTATGTGAATTGGGCATTAATGTCCTTAAAAGAATTTTAGTACACAATCAACCTAACTGCAACTATCTTTTCCTTCCAAGGCACTCTGCTACTAAAGGCATCCTTGTCGCAATGACATGTACATTCTTTGAGGCTTTCAATGTTCCAGTTTTTTGGCCAATTCTTGTGATGTACTTCATTATGCTTTTCTGCATCACAATGAAAAGGCAAATCAAGGTAAGAATCTAACCAAGTTGTTCTTTTTTCCAGGTTGTGGATTCTCCTAAACATGAGAGAGAGGGATTGCCCCAACATAATGGCAATATCACTGGCTATGTTGTAGCTCAAAAATTGCTAGTGGTGGTGGGGTTTTTTGAAAGACCCCCATAGTTGGAGTAGAGTTTGAGGCTTTGTCTAATGCTGATGAGGGTAGTCTGGGGGCTGTTTCCAATGTGACCTCCTTCCAAAAGCACCATTTTTTTAAAAGAAAAAAAATGACTTCTCCTTTGGATCCCCTGCTGTGAAACTTGAACTCAAAAAACATTTTAGTGGCCATCCAGCTTTTAAAAGAAAATGCTAATTGCTCCCATAGGCTCCCCCTATTGATAGTGATGCCCCCCAAAGGCCTTAATTTTTTTTAAAAAAATAAGTGGATTGTATCCAATTAAGTATTACTAAGAGTAGAGCCAATGGGATGCGGGTGGCGCTGTGGTCTAAACCACAGGGCCTAGAGCTTGCTGATCAGAAGGTCGGCGGTTCGAATATCTGCGACGGGGTGAGCTCCCGTTGCTCGGTCCCTGCTTCTGCCAACCTAGCAGTTCGAAAGCATGTCAAAGTGCAAGTAGATAAATAGGTACCGCTCCGGCGGGAAGGTAAACAACGTTTCCGTGCACTGCTCTGGTTCGCCAGAAGCGGCTTAGTCATGCTGGCTGTACGCCGGCTCCCTCAGCCAATAAAGTGAGATGAGCGTCACAACCCCAGAGTCATCCATGACTGGACCTAACGGTCAGGGGTCCCTTTACTCTTTAAGAGTAGAGCCATTGACATTAATGAACCTAAGTTAGTCATGTCCATTAGCTTCAATGGATCTACTTTAGCTAAGACTGGTATTGGTACAGCCCACTGTTCTTTGGTCACACCCACTTTGATATGTGGCCCCCAAAGGGTTGTCCATGGCCCTCAGTTCCTCCAAAAAGGATAGCCACTGCTGTTTAAACACATGAGCACATTCAGGTGTTTGAGGCGGAGTGGGCAGAGGGAGGGGAGTGCCGTGGGTGTGCTCTAAAAGCCTGTGTTTTTCTTTCCCTTTTGTTGCAGCATATGATAAAATATCGATATATACCCTTCACACACGGCAAGAGGAAATACAAAGGGAAGGAAGATGTGGGGAAGACCTTTGCTAGCTAGAAATTATACTGAGCCTGCTGACCAACTCCCTTCATTACAATTAAAAGTCCAGTTTTGAGCCATTGTAATGATGCCTCTTTCCTTCATACCAAGTCATCAGTAATAACGAGGGTGGGGACTAAGAAGTTGTATTTCTCCCCCCGCCCCCTGCAGTTTATTGAGCGTCAGGCTCCCCGCCCCCCCCCCCAGCAAGAGAATATCAGCCATATCATCTTGTTATTCTTTGGATATGAGCTGTTATGTCCAAGGGCTGCTTCTGTTCCCCCCTTTTTTGTTGTTGCATAACAGGAGTCATCCCATGTTCTCAAAACATCTCATAGGAAGTACACGCTACTGGTTCCAGCTCCTTGGAAGTGCAGGATTTGAGTGGCAATTTCGCAAGTTTCTGGTGTACATTTAGCAAGACAGAGTAATAAGAGAAGGCAGAACATTCATTTCAAACCCCCTCCTCACAAAAGTATAGCCTAGTGTGGAACAGGGGAGTTCCCACAACTGTATTTATTTATTTTGGGTTCCTTTGTGTTGATCTAGTCCAGAATGCATCCTGGTACATTGTTGAAATGCTTTGTGCATCTACAGAGGAAGATGAGACACAGTGATAATGTTTTCTGCTTTGTAATGTCCCAGGTTTTGACTAACAGGCTGTTTACAGGACCTCTGGTGATATTACTTAAGAGGGAAACTTGTGAACGTTGAAATAAGCCTACCCTGAGTTTTTTATTTTCAAAGTGGAAAAGGAATTAATTGATTTAGCTTTTATGGTGGAAAGGCTGATTTATTTTTGGCTCTTTCATAATGGCTCACTATTATTCTTAACAATCATGTTTTTGGGGGCCAGGGTTTGCTGGAGGTCTGGAATTAAATTTATAAAAAATTATTATGTGGAGAGTATTTTGACACATTTTATTTGATACTTAAAAAAACTTTTTAAGTTTGCTTCATGTAGCCCTCTCCAAGGTACATCTACACCGGCCATGGCAGACCGAGACTTTGTGGGTTTTAACACAGCTTTTAATTTTCTATGGAGAAAAATATAGAAATAAATGATCTGCATGTAAAACTTTTTCAATGTGATACAGCTATAAACAATTTTATTAAGTGACTTTTTAAAATTCCAAACTTTATTAAAAGACAGTGTCCCTTTCTTGGGTTCAGTAGTCTTTATAACAACCAATGTAAGGTACTAAGTGTTAACATTTCTTCCTTTTTCTCTAAACATTATGTTGTATCCAAAGTACTATGTAGAACAGAACCTTGAAAATAATGGGTGTGAGTAACTTGGGTCTACTCAGAGTAGCATTAACATTGGATGCAACCCATTCTATTTAAATATTTTGGAATAATGTATTTGAACTCTAGCTGTTCGAAAACAGTCCTTTGCATTACTGTGCAAACCATAGCTGCTCATGATTCAGTCTAAAAGGAAATTTTCACTCTGTATTGGGCGGACTTGTGATAAGTGTAAAATATTCTGTGCCATGTGAATTGGATCGCCCCACTTTCAGCAGTATGGGAAAAATCTGTGTTGCCCCCACACCCATACCCCAACGTTCTTAGAAGTCAGTCATAGGGGGATCTGTTTACATTTCTAAAGAATACTATGAAAAATATTGTACAAGGGATCGGAGGTATTAAAGAAAATTGCAATGAATAATCCTGATCCTTACCACTGTGCATAGAAGCAAGTTCCAGTGATATCAATTGGGCTTTAATATCTCTTAGTATATGTGTTAATAAAATGGTATGGAGCTGGGGCAGTAGCTCGAAAAGTAGACTAAGTAAATTTGTCAGAGGTTAATTCATGCTCTCCTCTGTATCAGACCTCAGTTGCATTACTCTAGGACTAAAACGTCACAATGTAGAAGGGCAGACACATACCCTCCCCTGTGTGGAAACGTGTTCACACCAGCTGTAGCTGTTGGCTGCAGGTGGTGCAGCTTCTACTGTATATTCCTTCTGCTAAGGGTGGCAAACCAGTAGTCCTACAGGTGTTGTTGGTCCACAACTCCCTTCCTCTCCAACTATTAGCCATGCATGCCAGGTCTGATGGGAGATGGAGTCCAGCAACAGCCGGTAGAGGCACCCTATTGGCTATCTTTGCCTTATGTACCCACCGTACAAGATTACCCCAATCTTTGCCAAACTGAATTTCTGACAGTTGCTGCACTGTAGGGCGCTCATTCCAACTTAGAACTTCAGCTTTATATTTTAAAAAAACTAACCAACAGCTATAGTTTATTAGGCACAGGGGATTTTAGCAGCACACAAACACAAAATTAATTTCCATATGCATGCCCTAGTATCTTTTGGAAAGGCAAAATGTTCTTATTAAGCTACTACCTCTCAGAGAATGTAGTTTCCCATAAGAATAGCCCAGCTGAATCAGGTCATAGACCCATCGAGTGCAGCATTCTGCTCTCAGTGGCTAACCAGATGCCCCTGGGAGGCCTGTAAGCAGGACCTGAAGGCAAGTGCACGCTCCCCTCCATTTTCCAGTGACTGGTATTGAGAAACATACTGCCTCCACTCACAGAGGCAGAATATAAGCATTGTGGCTTGTAGCCATTGATAGCCTTATCCCCCATGAATTTGTCTTAATTCTTTTTTAAAGCGACCCAAATTGCTGGCCATCACTGCCTCTTTTGGGAGCAAATTCCAAAGTTTTAACTTTGTGCTGTGTGAAGAAGTACTTTCTTTTATCCCAAACCCCCCAACATTCAGCTTCATCAATGTCAACGAGTTACAGTGTCATGAGAACACTACTGGTAGGTCTAGCAGATGCCTGCCAATGCTTAAAAGGGTTATAGCAGAATTTAGGTAGATTTGTGTGCTTTGTTCTACAAAGAAAGAGGATCAACACCAGAAGTTTGTTTTGTAAGATGACAAGTTCGTATCTCCTTGTACAGGCAGTGCAACTCAAGTGTTAAGCTGCTCAATTTTATCACAGCAATTTAATATCATAATATAAAAATAAAGTCTTACACTTGGTCAAAAGCTGTAGTATTTTCGTTGGTTCCTAACACTTTGCAATCTAACAGCCGCACAGGTGGCTGTTATCGATAGTGTTGTAGATAAATCAGCTTCTGTGGATGGAATTTCTCTCTGCACAGTGGGCACTCAGCCTGCAGGAGAGGAAAAATAAATATCTTAACTAAACAAACATCTCCCAGTTCCCAGTTTGTAAGTCTTTTTCCAGCTAGCTTTTTCTGACAGTTACCTGTTTGCACACCCTAAGTTCTCTACAAATGGAACCATGGGCCTTCCCTCAGTACCAGGGGCTTTTGATGGTATGTAGAACTCTTACAGGCATAGAGCTATATTTATGGACAGGATTGTGTACATGCTGTGGAAGTGCAGAAAAGCTACCTGCTGTGGTATCTAGAGCTGCTATTTAAAACATTTCTAACCTGCCCTTCATTGCAATGTGATATCAATGAAGAGTTTGAGGTGCTAGAGTCAATTCTACAACAGTAAACCAGTTCTTAAAAACTAATAGGAACTAACCCTCAGTCTAGTCGTTTTGAGTCCAACTGTTGAACTGCAGCTCCCATTATCCCTGACTATTGGCCATGTTGGCTGGGGCTGCTGGACTCCCAACAACATCTGGAAGACATCAGGCTCCTCGTCCCCGAATTAAGGAATTGTCTTAACAGATTATCAACTAGACTCAGATAATGCAAGTGCATATTGGCACCTGCTAGAATTGAAAGTTGAAAACTCAAATCACATGTAGTTTCCTCCTTTGGTAAGACATTGGGAAGAATTAAACCAAGGAGCTATTTCAAGGAACCCACTTCTTCGGCTCCTCTTTTCCTACAGCTCTCATTTCCACTGCGAAAAGGAAACCTGACAGGACTTTGCTTTTGTTTTAAGAGTTCAGCATCCTAGGAGGGGGTCTGTTTACCTTGGTGTTGCACCACTCAGTGATGCATTCCCAGCAGAAGAGGTGTCCACACGGAGTGGCTGTAGCATGCCGGCGTTCTTCTAAGCACAGAATACAGCGAGAGCTTCGGCCAAGGAACTTCTCCTCAGGCTGGGTTCTGAGAGAGGACAAAGTCAGGCACAAGTGCTCTTCAGGTTAATGTCCCAAGGGAGATGATGCTTCTGCTGCCAAGGTTCTAGCATATGACACCATCAGGAGAAACTTAGCTTTTTAACAGGGTTATAGCCAATGCTAGTCCTACTCAGAGTAGACATGAAAGAAAGTGACGTTACTAATATGGGTCTATTTCAGGTCATCTACTCTTGAGTAAACATTTGCACCCATTTTTAAAAAAGATTACGCTCCTAGCCCTCATACTTTTGACTGCTGTTCCTGGGCAGTACTGCTTGCTGCCTAAAAATAAAGGTGTGGGGAAATGATCTTCAAAGTTACTTAGCAAGTTCCAACAAGATGCAAAGCCACCCAACAAGAGCTATTTTTCCAAGGTAGGGGTAGGCATACTGTTACTGGCTTTTTGGTTCTCCTTTTCCCTTCTTTTCCCAATATATCACCCTCTGCCATTTACGTTCCGAGAATTCCATGTACTGAAAGCCCAGTGTTTGCAAGCACAATATAAGCAACCCATTCAAATTACCTAATTCATTTTAATCAGATCAATTACACACTGAGTTGGTTACCCAGTTTTGATGCCAGGACACAGTTTTAGCCATTCTTAACACGTGTTGATTGTCAAGCACAATATTAAGTCAATCTAGGTTTTTGAACACAGCTCAGATGCCACTGCATGCGCCCCCACCCTTCATTCCAGCTAATACTACTACAGTGGTACCTCGGGTTACATATGCTTCAGGTTACAGACTCCGCTAACCCAGAAATAGTACGTCGGGTTAAGAACTTTGCTTCAGGATGAGAACAGAAATTGTGCTCCAGCGGCGCAGTGGCAGTGGGAGGCCCCATTAGCTAAAGTGGTGCTTCAGGTTAAGAACAGTTTCAGGTTAAGAACGGACCTCTGGAACGAATTAAGTACTTAACCCGAGGTACCACTGTACATAGTTCAAGAACACTAGCAGGAACCTTTTTCATCCTGCAGGCCGCTTTCCCTTCAAGGCTACTTTCCAAGGGCTGTGGGTCAGTGTTGCGCAGGGACACAGCCAACAGTGTGTGAACAAATACATACATTAACACTGGGTACAAAGCAGCACCAGTGAAGGCTGTAGCCTGGGCACAATTTTGACGGCCAGAGAGGGGCCTGAATATTTGATCCCCAAGCCTAAGGCTCCCAGGCATCTACGCCACCCCCTGTAAGCATCTGGTAAGCAAAATGCCACTAGCATACCTTGGGTAGGAGAGGTTACGGTGCACCTTCCATTCTTGTCTTGCCCTCTGCCTCTGTTGGAAGCTGTATGCATGGATACCAACTGTTAGTGCCAGGTGCAGCACTGAAAGGATCCCAAGAAGCCTGTAACTTGATCGAACATGCTGGTTGTCTCCATCTAATCCTGCATAGCGCAGCTGGAAGGGGGGAAGACACAAAACCACCACTTGATATTGATGCATTTTGTGTGATCTGTGAAGGAACCTAGAGAACTGCAGTGCGATGGCTATTTCAAGTACAGATTTTGTTTAGAAAGAATGGAAACCAGCCCACATGACTTTTGAATCTTGAATTGCATACAGAACAGAATACCATACTGGTATTGGTGACAGTAGCCCTCCTCTAGAACAGCAGTGGGAACCTATGGCTCTCCAGATGTTGAACTCCCATCTCTCATCAGCCCTAGCAAGCATGGCCAGTGGTCAGGGATGACAGGGAGTTGTAGTCAAGCAGCTTTTAAAGGGTCACAGGCTCCACATCCCTGAGCTATGGCAATACATACGATTCTAAATTGACCACAAAGAGGGGATCCATACAAATAAGTAATATGGCACCATAGATATTTAGGGGTAGAGTGGATTCCTAGTCTTCATTATGTTCCTGTTGTACATGTGGTAGTTTTAACAAGAAACAGAAACTCGGGGTGCTGAGAGACAGAAACTGGATGGCAGCCCAAACTTAAGGTTCTATCCAACCAAGTCCTATGCAGGGAAGACCCATCTGAAATTACTGACTATAACTAACTTGGGTCCCTTAATCTCAGTACGTATACTTTGGGAATGACCAGCATTGGATATAGCCCTTGGTTCCGTTTGATGCTATTCCCCACCCCCGCCCCAATGCCAGGGATGGAAGTGAGAGCTGCCCACAGCAAACAGTGCCAAAATACGGGATTTTAGTGTATTGCACACAGAACATCAAAGGGCTATCAAATACTTTCTACTTACATATGTGATCCCTGCCATCCTTTTAGATAGGTGGTAGAAAATGCCATTCATATAGAAGATGGCCAGGTGCAGCCTACGAAGGAGTGGAATGCCTTGCCTGAGAAAATGGACAACCTGACAGAGCATCTTCCTCTGCTGCTCTGTTAATCTGCCAAGCCATTTCTGTAACCAACGCCACAAGAAAGTCCTTCCCCACAATCCACGCAAATGTCTGCTTTGCAAAGTCCTCATCTCATCGGGTTCTGTCTGAAGTTCATGTTCCAGGTGTACTAATCCTTTGTCTAACAAGTAAGGGAAGACAGTGTGCAAAGAAATCAGGACAGCCCGTCGAAGTACTGAAGGAACTCTCTTCCGTGATGGGTCTACTTGGATAATATTGACATACTCTTCACCAAGAGTTTGGTAACCTAAAGAACATTTAAAAAAACAAACAAACAAAAACAGAGATGGCAGTCCTGAAAATCTGATAAGTTTAATGTTAAGCATAAAATGGCAGCACATTTAGTCAGAGCACCAAGCACAGAACAATTTAGGGGGTGAAATACCTGAAAGGGTTGTGAGTGTGAAATATGCTATATCAGCAAACAGCTCAATTTCCTTCTGCCACTCCAACCAAATTCTAGCACCTAGAGAGCCAGAGCAAATGACAGTGTTAGAGAACAAAGTGAACAGAGATGCCCTGCCAAATAATTTGACTTCAATACGAGTTGAAAAAGAAATTACACCATTTTCATAGGTCAAATAATAAAACATTATGAAAGTTAAAAAATTAAGAACTGAGATTTACAAAGTAACCAGTGTCTTTAGTGCAGATACAACTTCTAGAGAGGTAGAACGTTATGGCATAAGCTTTTGTGGAGTAAACAGATGCATGAAGTGTAATCCACAGGCACATACTGTATACCCACACTAGTAATGCAATAAGCAAAGATAATTTACACTTCAAGCTAGACTGTATGCAAGATATGCACTGCAACTCAATGGTTGCAGGATAAGCAAAGATGTTTGCAATTTTCAGATCACAGACTATTGATACAGTCCTCTCTCAAGTCTCAATCACCTTTATCCATCAATAAAAGAACAGAAGAGCCTGCTGAATCAGGTCAATGGCTCATCTAGTCCAGGATCCCATTCTCAGAGTGGCCACCAGATATCTCAGTGGCAAACCCACAAGCGGGACCTGGGCACAATTCCTTCCTGTAATTGCCAGCAGCTGGTATTCAGACTGCCTCAGACTGTAGAGGCAGCCATTATGACCAGTAGCCTTCATGTAGCCTTCTCCTCCATGAATTTGCCTATTCCTTTTTAAAGCCATCCAGGCTGGTGGCCATCACTGCCTCCTGCAGGAGCGAGTTCGACAGTTAAACGAGGCATTGTGTTACGCAAGCTGAGGTACTCTGCCAATGAATCCTCTTGCGCCTTCACCAAAGGTGTCTTCTCCTGCCATTGGTGAAAGGAGCGTCAGTTCTTACCTGCGGTGATCTCAGCCCAGGAGAGCTATGGGAAGCCACAACTAATAATGCTTGGCTAGATGGGCCAATACCCTGACCTGATATAAAGCTGCTTTTTACATTTCCAGGTTCATCCCCCACCCAACCCCTCTTCTCTCCCTCTCCCTCTCTCTCTCACACACACAAATGACTCAGATATTGTATCCAGTGTGGCTTGGGTTTCAGACTAGGACCTAGGAGACCAGGGTTCGAATCCCCGCCCTGAGCCAATGAAGCTCACTGCGTGACCCTGGGGTCAGACACTGCCTCTTAGCCTAACCTACCTCACAGGGTTGTTGTGAGGACAAAATGGGGAGAGGGAGAACCATGCTGCTTGGTGGAGAAAGTGGGATATAAAACGGAAAGAAAGAAAGAAAGAAAAAAGATCCGGTATATGGGCTTCGTCTTGCAAAGCGGTTCAGAGGATGCAATTCTGCCCGGGGTCAAGACGGCTCCTCACCTGCCAGGCCCCCCAAGGCAGCCCCAGCCCCGCTCCTCAGCGCCCCTCGATAGAGCTCGTCCTTCTGGGCGGACCGAACGAGTCGTGCGGGCCCGGCTTCTACCGCTGCCGGCGACATCGCTGCAAAGGCGAGAAAGGTGCCTGTTTTGCCCGAGCTGCTTCCGCAAACAGACGCTTCGCGCGGCGCACGCTTTTATGCGTCATCAGGCCGCACCACGAACGAGAGAGAGAGAGAGTGTGTGTGTGTTGGGGTTGCGCATAGAGAGATAGGAAAGTGTAGAGTGATGCTCACTAGAGGATCTTCCGGGATAAAGAGAACATTCCGCCACCCTTTCGGAAAACGTGCGCCTTTTAGAGCATATAGCTCAACAAGTAAAAGCGTTTCAGTTGTTCATTTCGTAAAATTTATACAAACCACTTGATTGAGAAAACCAACACCACACCAAAAACAGCAGGCGAACAGTATAATGAAACAATAAAACAAGGCTTGAATAGCCATTTCTGCATGGATGAAATCGGAAAATATGAAGGGGGCGCTCTCTCTTTTGCTATTATTTTCGTTAACTATGATTGGTGTGTGGGGTAGGTTGTTGAGTTAGGCCAATCATACTGATGAGGGGGATTAGTCATTGTCATGTTGTGCTGTATATGCGATGAAGGGGAATCACACTAGAGCAAAGGCATGATTGGAAAATTATGGGGGGGGTTAGATCTCTCTTTTTGTTATTATTTTTGTTAACGTCTATGATTGCAAGGATTTAAACATATGTTTACTGTATTAAGTAGGGGTTCAGAATCTTATCCCCGTGACTGGAAATATAAGAGTGCAAGTGAGGGTTTTACTTTGGGAAAATGTAAAATGGGTTTTAATTTGTGATCAATTTGTAGAAATTTGAAAATCAATAAAAAAAGATTTGGCAAAAGCTAGAACCCTGAAATAATGATGAAAATGGTCAACAAGAGAATGAATGAATGAATGAATGAATGAATGAATACAATCAGTGTCCTGGAAAAATCTCACAAAGAGGCAGTGCCCAAAGAGTCCAGTTGATGTGCGACTGCTGACATGGGGGTCCTTCTGGACCAGGAAGAGGGCAGAACGGAGGTGAAATGTGAATGGGGCAGGGCTGAAAAGGGGTGACATGTGATGTAATGGGGCAGAGTGCACTCATGCATCTGCCGCTGACAAAAGCAGGGGCTGGGAATGGAACCCCAGGTGAAGTGGTCCCTGCCTGTGCACTAGAGACCATTAAGTACATAGTCCATTGATGGGAGCCAGACAACGGCTGGAGGTGTTGATAGTTGTCAAGGGGCAATTTTGTGGTTTGAGGGAGTTGCCGTCCTCCACAGAGGATGGTTGTCGTTCCCGATCCTTTGGCATTGACCTTGCTGGTTTGCAGATAATGCAGATGATCTGCAATGAGGCGAAAGGGGCTACTTCAGTAACGTAAAAGCAGCCCACCAGATTTCTTTGTTCAGGACTCACAGCATGAATAAGAACCGGATGTTCAAAACCACCATCCAGGAGGGTGGTGTCCCCCATTGGGGTTGCCATCTAAATTGGGGTGTGTGGGTGTCTGTTTCTGGAGGACGTTTTTAAATGGGAGAGTTTGGGAAAAATACTCCCTTTAGCCACCCACAAAACACCATTACTGGATGGCCTTAGGTAGAAAATTTCAATAGCCCCTCCACCCTCAGAGATTTAATAAATACATCATCATCTGCTATCTTGTAACAGCAACCAAAATATGTTGTTTGGGGCAGAGATCTTGCTTTGCTTCACAGTCTCTTGAGTGAAGCCAGTGATGGCATAACTGTGGCAGTTGGGGCCAATAATTTAGCTTGGGGGGACTCTCAGCTGTTAATGGGAAGACAGCAGAAACGAAACATGGGGCTCCTTGCTCTACCCATTTCCTCTAGAGTCAGGACACCTCACCACAATGTAGATAGCTGCAGCTATTTCTGGTACCCCAGCTAACTCTTCGTTGGTGAAAGACAGCTTTGATGCATGCTACCATGGGAGGGATCCACACCCAGTGTCCAATTCCAAGAGCCCTGAAATGGATCTATTTAAATAGGCACATTCCCATCCCCTGTGCTGAGCTCTGTTTTCCATTCCATCACCTTGTTCTTCCTCTTACCTCAACATGGCAGAGAATCCCTTCATGAAGGTGTCTGGGCTAAAAATCTGGTGTACAAAGCCTGTCTTTTTAGGTGGCATCTCAGATGTCACCATGAACAAAATATGAAACTAGTAGCATTCACTTCTCTTAATCTCCCATTGCAGAGGGGAAGGGGCCATGGCTCAGTGGTAGAGCACCTGCCATGTATGCCGGTGGTCCCAGGTTCAATCCTTGACAGTTCAGTGTAGGGTTGGGTGAGATCCCTGCCTGAAACCCTGGAGAGCCCCTGCTAGTTAATGCAGACAACATTGCCTCTGACTTGGTAGGAGGCAACTCTCTGTGTCCCAAGAATCGGGGAGAAGAAATATTTAACCCTCTCTCCTCCCCACATACAAAGGTCCCAATGTAAGTAACCCATCCCCAACATTTAGGGGCGAAGGAAGCTAGAAAGCAGGTTATTCATCCTTACAACTGTGGTTGGCAGACTTTTGTCAAGAAGCTGCTTTGCATTTCTTCAGCCAGCAGATGCAGGAGCTTTTGGTGGTCTACTGATCTCAAGACCTCCTGCCAGATTTCTTCGTAGTCGCAGTGGATGGAAAAACAAGAGCAGCTGTTGGATCCATGGGTTCAGGGATGGCCATTTATTATGCTGAAAGAGCCATTTTATTCTCTGGGCAGCAGTTCAGGAGCCAGAAGGGTGTTTTGCTTCAGCCACCCTTTCACCTGCCTGGCTTCATCACGAACTTTTCCATTTGCTGCCAAGTTATAGAGAGGTGAATGCGACTGGTGAATACTCTTGACTCTCTGCACACCTGCGTATTTGCAGCTGGAGAAAATGAGCACCAATTTCATCCCTTGCTGCTTGGCCAAGAAGAAAGAGGGCTGTCCCTGCCTTCTCAGCTTCTGCACTGTTGCTTTTTAAAAAAGAACTTAATAATGGCTAGTGTACTAATGTGGGAACGCTCCAAAACCTTTGCCAGTTGCCACGAGGCAGAAAATGATCTGGTATCCAGAGGGAGGCTGAGATTGGGAAACTCCTGACATGGGTGGGGTGGGGGAGAGCCAGTGTGGTGTAGTGGTTAAGAGCGGTAGATTCATAATCTGGTGAACCGGGTTCGATTCCCCGCTCATCCACAAGCAGCTGCTGGGTGACCTTGGGCTAGTCACACTTCTTTGAAGTCTTTCAGCCCCACTCACCTCACAGAGTGTTTGTTGTGGGGGAGGAAGGGAAAGGAGAATGATAGCTGTGTTGAGACTCCTTTGGGTAGTGATAAAGTGGGATATCAAATCCAAACTCCTCCTCCTCCTCCTCCTCTTCTTCTTCTTCTTCTTCTTCTTCTTCTTCTTCCTGGCCTCCTCATGGAGAAACTTACTGAGCAAGCCCCACAGATTCCCAACCCACCACAGCCATTTCCCTCACTCCCAGCACAGGTAAAGGACCCCTGGATGGTTAAGTCTAGTTGAATTCGACTTTGGGGTGTGGAGCTCATCTCCGCTTTCAGGCCGAGGGAGCTGGCGATTGTCCGCATACAGATTTCCGGGTCATGTGGCCAGCATGACTAAACTGCTTGGAAGCAGAAAGGGTTTACTATTCATTGAAAACCGGGGGGGGGGGATCTTTGGCCCTCCAGATATTGCTGAACTACAGCTTTCACAACCCTAAGCAAGCATGTCCAGGGGCCAGGGATGATGGGAGTTGGAGCTGATCCCCCACACCTGATCTAAAAGAAATCAAGGAGGGAGCCAAGCAGAACTCTTGGGGAAGGGAGTGCCATAAACAGAGTCTAATTGTATCTACAGACAGATCCACAAGTGGAACTGAAAAAAATCCTATTTCACATTTATTTGGATAGTTTGCTTTCCAGTGATATAGCTCTGCTGGAGTTATCACTGGCTGCATGGCACCCTGAAACCTATTGATATACAGTACTAACTTACCCTTGCAAATGTGTATTGATGAATACAGGTGGAGTTGGTCCACTGGTTGGATTCAGGATGCACTGAGCCATTATAATCAGCATTCGGCCCCACACAATCCATTTCAGCATCCCTGCAATGGAAAGGTTAAGGATTAGATAGGGTCTTGTCGATAAGTCAGGATGCCCTGGGTAGCTACTCCTCACTGGCTTCTACCCTGACAAGGATCTGAAACCTGCAGTCAAGCCGATGATGGTAGACCATCCACTGGGTGGTCCTGGGCTGGCTGGCTTTTGATACCCAAAATGCTGGTCCCCTTAGCTAGAGCTCCTTGGAACTAGAGAAATCCCTGAAGGCATCAAAACTCCCTTCTGCACTGTGCATGGGAAGCATCTATAATATAGGATTATTTCATGATGATCAATACCTGAGTCTTGCTCCTTTGGAAATAACTTGCAATGCCACCTGCATATTCCCCCCACCCCATATGAACACACTGTGCTTCTTTTGAAGAAAATTTAGTGGCTCCTTTGGCTGTACCAATTTGGGAATTTCTCTTTTTAAGTGCTAATGGAAACCCTCCCACATTTTTAGTGTGCATTTCTCCTAATATATTCATTTTGTGTTCAAGTTCATCTAAATGTTACCTTTTCTGAAAGCAGCCTTCTCTGGTGCATTTCTGAATTTTATTTTCACCAGTTTATGCTTTTTATATGCATGCTTTTTTGCTAATATGTGCATTTAGGGGGCGGGGAACCTCTTTGCAAAATAGGGGAAATGGCAACTCTCAAAGCAACATTCTGTTTGGTGTGTTGATCTGGGAAGAGCAGTTGGGAGTAGGTTTACATTAAAATGGAAAGAATATGGATTTCTCTGCTCTCCATATCATTTGAGAATGGTTTCTCACACAGTCTTTGCCAGAAAAAGAATCTACTGTCAATCCCAGCATCCATTCACCCAAACCTCTAATCCACAGTTAGGATCTTTATGACCGGCACCAAGAATCCACCTGCCAGTTTGACGGCATATGCTCTCCTAACTACACGCATAGAGTTCTGTTAGGTCTCCCCTCCTTCAAGTGCCACCTGGGAGCAGCCATTCCATTAGACTCATTCAGTGGGAGAGGGGGAAAGCAGGGCTCCTCTATCAGCTCTGCTGAAAGACCAGCTCCATAAAGCATCTCCTACCCCTAAACTGTGCCAGTAGTGGCTAAAAATATATATACGTATCTTGTGTCCCCCCCTTTCCATGTCAAACTATATTACAAAATTAACGTTAATCATGTATAAATATAAATTAACTCTCCCCTGAACAGTACTATAGGATTCACACACAATGTTTCTTTAAAACGGAGTACAGTATGCACATAGCATAAAATTTTACCTGTTTAACATAATATCCAACCTACTACAGGGGTGCCAAGTTAAATAAAAAATTTTTTGGGGGGGAGGTAAGCCCCTCCCCACACAATCAATCGCAAGACATGCACAGCATTTGAATGGCAATGCTCATCAACTTTTTTTTGGGGGGGTGACCCCCTCAAATATTTTAGGGGGGGGGCAAAGGGACCTCGGCCCCTAGGAGCTGGTTCCTATGATCCACTACTATATATAATGCTAACATCCTAGAGAACCTTCACTTTTCTCTGCCAAAAACCTGCCTTTCTTTGACCTTGGATAGCTGTTTGCCAAACTTTGTGAAACCAGTATTCTGCATCCTAGAGCTAGGACTACTAGAAATGTCAACATTTGCTTACATTCAGGAGTTTTTCAGATGGCATATTGTCAACAAAATCAGCAAAGACCACCACAGTAGATCTCTTCACACCTCTACTCGCTGAGGAAGCAAGAACCTCAGCTCAAACAGACGCGCATTCAGTTGCTAGGCAATGGCAATTGGTGACATCAAATACATAGCCACCATGCCAAGGTTCTAGGAGAGTCAGTGTGGCATAGTGGTCAGAGTCTTGGACTAGGACCTGGGAGACCCGGGTTCAAATCCCCGGGGCCTCAACCTTGAGCCAGACATTCACCCTCGGCCTAACCTGCCTTGTTGTGAGGATAAAATGGGGAGAAGGAGAAATAGGCATGTCACCTTGCTCCTTGGAGGAAAAATAGGATATAAATGTCATAAGCAGATCAATAAACATAGCAGCCACACAGTACTCCTTCCACAGTAATTTAGTACTCGATGTTCATCTGTTCTTGGTTGTACAACCAGATTGAGAATATCATTTCCCATTTGCCTGAATTGGAACACAGTTGTGAGATCGAAGCTTCTGTTTTAGCTTAAACACTGTTTTGCATGTGAACAGACTAGCTCCTAAGGCAGCAGACTTGTTTCAACAGAGCCTACCCTGCTCTCCTGTATCTAGGATTATTTCCTGTTGATCAATACTTGGGTCTTGCTCCTCAGGAAATAGATTTGGCATGGCCACCTGCTCATTTTCCCATAGGAAAACATAGTGTTCCTTTGAACCGTAGCAGAACAGCAAGGAGCCAATTTAATTCCACACACTACAAGGACGGTATATAGTCTTTGAAATGTACAGTTTGATATTTCTGTTCCCTTTTTTTAAATCCTGCTTTCCAGACAGAAAAGGTGAGCCAAATCCTGTCCTCAGGTTTGAAAGCCAAAAAGAAAAGGTCAAGGCACCCAGTTTGAAGGGATTTTTGGAGTAAGAAGTTCGAAAGGCAGAAGGGATGTGGGGGAAGAACAACTTTTAACAATGCCCAAAGGAAGGTTTGAGATGTCCACGTCTTGCTGGGGCCAAGCTGATCTTCTCATGCCCATAGCTGTATTTAGACAGCGCTGCAGCAACTGACCCAACAGCCTTTCATCCCTGGCCGACGGAGGGGAACTGAGCATGCTTTGCTTCAGTCCTGCAGTTCCAGAGCAAGTGCTGACTGGAGCCCCTTTCTGTCCTGGCGGGGATGGAGAGAAGCAAGCTCCCTGCAGCAGCTCCTTCCCTGGCAAAAGGTGAGACCAGATCGATCTCCTAGACCAGGCATAGGCAAACTTGGCCCTCCAGATGTTTCGGGACTACAACTCCCATGATCCCTAGCTAACAGGACCAGTGGTCAGGGATGATGGGATATGTAGTCCCAAAACATCTGGAGGTCCGAGTTTGCCTATGCCTGTCTTAGACGAGCACAATGTTGTTTTTGTTATTATTATTCTTATTAATGAATGATCGCTTCCTATGCAGGCTCTCATAGAGGTGGCACAATTCAATGAAAAGAGAGTCAGGTCAGTTTCTGAGGTGCTTCCCATTAGCTCCTTGTTTTGAAGCTCTTTGGGGGGCAGACTCCCACAGCATAGGTGTAGAATTAAGGGTGGTGTGGGTCTTAAGCTCCCCCACCCCCAAGTCCCCTGGAGGGACTTAGCTGGGTCCCACAGACAGCAGACAGTGCCAGGGAAATCAACAGGCTCAAGTGATGGATCAGTTGCTATAGCAACTGCAGCTGTGGAGCAACAGCCCAGAAGGCCTCAGTTGGGCCTTACAAACTACAAAGAAGACTAAACTAGGGTGTCTAGAGTCTCTCCTATATTAAATATAAATACAATATTCTGTGTATTTTACGGGGACAATAATCTTTTTCTCACAGTTGGGCAGATTGTGTGTGTGTGTGTGTGTGTGTGTGTGTGTGTGTGTGTGTATTACAAACAAAACAAAAACCAGTTATAAACTTACTGGGCAGATCACTACCTCTCAGAAACAGCAGCACTTCCCTACAGTATAGGATAATGTAGACCTACCTCACAGGATTATTTTTTGGGTGACTGAGATAATGCTTATGAAGCACTTTGTGCATATACTGTTTTTATTATTTATCTCCGTCAGCCCACATTGCACTTTGTGACAAAAAAGGGGGGCACCTGTGGAAAAAAGGTGAGATAAAAGGCAGTGGCCAGAGTTTATAATGCCACTGTGTACACACTATACTTTTAAAGTACATTTGAAGCACATTCCCCTCAAAAAATTCTAGGCACTGTAGTTTCCCACTCACTGAGTTACAATTCCCAGCAACCCTCAACAAATCACAGTGCCCATAATTCTTTGTGGGGCTGGGATGTGCTTCAAATTTGCATTAACAGAGTGCTGTACAAGGTTAGAGGCTAGGAATTTTAACCAAAAAAGCACACAGAAAAAGGTAGATTTTGAGGGTTTTTAAAACTTGGTTTCCCCCACCGGTTTTGTGAATGGGGTGCAGGAAGATAAAGGTACAATCTTGAAGTTTCTTAAGAGCTCGGACATCATGTTTAAGTCGATTTTATACACTGATGCCAATCAGGACATTTATCTCCTCGTTCTATAGGTAATCTCTTTCCAAACCCTGATGACCACTTTGTGGGTGCTTCCAGACAGCCTGCTTATTGAGCAGTCATCCTGATTTGTTTGCAGGGCGATTAGACAACACTGGCTATTTAAAGCACATTTAACCTGATTTGTTTGTGGGGAGGCTAGACGGAGATGCATCAGTGCAAACATCCCACACTTTCCCCATCCCTCTGCATCAGTTCAATCTTTTTGGGAAGCAGGTTAAACTATGGAATTTGCTCCTAGAAAAGGCCGTGATGGCTACCAACGTGGACGATTATAAAATATGATTTGACAAATTCATGGCAGATAAGGCTATCAGTGGCTACTAGTCACACAAGGGCTGTACTTTGCTTCCATGGTCAGAGGCACTATCTTTCTGAATACAGTGGTACCTCGGGTTACGAACTTAATTCGTTCCGGAGGCCTATTCTTAACCTGAAACCATTCTTAACCTGAGGTATCACTTTAGCTAATGGGGCCTCGCATGAGATTTCTGTTCTCATCCTGAGGTAAAGTTCTTAACCTGAGGTACTACTTCTGGGTTAGCGGAGTCTGTAACCTGAAGCGTGTGTAACCTGAGGTGTTTGTAACCCGAGGTACCACTGTACCAGTTGTGGGAATTGCAGGAGAATTGCTCTTGTACTTGGGTCCTGCATACAGGCTTCTCAGAGGCGTCTGTGTGGCCTCTGTGTGAACAGAATGTCGGACTAACAGGGCCATTGGCTTTATCCAGCAGGCTCATCTTACCAGATTGTTTTTCTCTAGCACGCCACAAGAATAAAGAGGAAACAGTCTTTAAGCTTGGCCCTTATTTTGGATTCTGCAAGCAGCTGGATTCCACCTGAGACACCTCACATTCTGTAGCTCAAGTGAAGTTCTGTATCTGTGGGGATAAGTTATTTGGTTCTTCTCATTGCCATTAAGATTATTTTTTTTTTTAAAGTGTCTTCTCGAAAGAAAAAGAATACCACTAGGTGGTAGACTTGTACCATGTAAGCCCTTGCGTTTGTGAACCATTTCTTTCTCCGAGAGTAAGACAGAATCCTTTCTATCTTGTAGTAAGCTATTATTTTAAAGTTTGTACTCACTGAGGAGAGCAGATAATTCTAATGAGGACCCCTAGCACTGCATATTATGGACAGCATGCACCGTGGGTATCAGCCTTTTGTGAAAATGTGTAGCAGCCATATTCGTGTGAGCTTTGTCTAATATTGTACAATGAACTAATTATCTTTTAGACGATCTCTCGCAATAATTAGTTGTCCGTCATCTTCTCTTCTAACCCCATAACACTTTGAGTTGCAATGAAATGTTTATAATCTAGTCCTTTGATGTGAGACTTCCAGTACAAGCCCTAAGCATATTTACTCTGAAGTAAATCCCGATAATCTCAATGACTAAGGAAGTTTGCTTATGGTTGCAGCCTTAACCAACTGGATTTTCATTCCTCCTCCCCCAAGGTAGTTCTGATGGTTAGCCTGTGACCCAATGACAAAAAACCTGTGATGTAATTTTATTTTTACAGCTGTCTGGGTTGTTATGCTAATCATCTTGGTAGCTTGTTTAGCTCATGCAAATAGTGATTATAAACACTGGATTATAAATAGATTTTCAAAAATTATTGTTTGTCTTCTTTTCACAAATTTGATCCTAGCTTACCTCTTCTTAAAGCTAGGTCTTAACTTCAGTTAGTCTACTCTAAGTTGGACTAGGACTGGGGACAACCCACAGTCATTTTGTGCTCATGATGGTATAAGGGCTCCCCACTTTCAATCCTGTTTGCACCTCCTAAATTTTCAGGGCACACATACTGCTTTGTTTTCAATCAATGCATGTCCTATAGCTCCCTGCTGAAATCCTGTAGCTTTTCATAAGACAAACATTGCAAGGTTTTTCTGTCCTGGTATCCTGCAGGAGTGCACCTCCAGATGATGAAAGAGTGCCCCTCCCAATGTAATAACACCGGGTAAGAATAATGGGGCAAATATTAAAACTGCTAGAACACTCCTGGATGGCTAATAGAGCATGAGACTCTTAATCCCAAGGGTGTGGGTTTGATCCCCACGTTTGGCAAAGGATTCTTGCATTGCAGGGAGCTGGACTAGGTGACGCTTGTGGTCCCTTCAAATTCTACAATTCTATGATTTGCAAAGCTGAGCAGGGTCTGTTATGGTTTCAAATTGGATGGGAGGCTGCATGTTGAGATTCCTGCATTGCAGAGGGTTAGATTAGATGATCCTTGGGGTCCCTTCCAACTTTACAATTCTGTGATCTCTGTAAAGTTTGGACCGTCCAGTATAAATCCACCACTGATGCACTTTTATTGTGCCAATAAAACATGTTCCGGAACACACAAAGAAAAAAGCCAACAAAAAAGTCAGGAGGGACTACACACCCACCCACCCACCCACAGGAATATGTTTAAGTATTAATTCTGGAAGGCTGTTGTCTTTCTGGGCAGATGCATATTTCATCTGAACTTTGTGTTGTTCTCTTTGGCATATTTTCACTGTACTTTGCTTGAGTTGTATAATGACAATAATTATGATTTAAACTGTAAACTGCATATGCATTGGAACATAGGAAGCTGCCTTATGTTGAGTCAGACTACATTGGTCCATTTAGCTCAGTATTGTCTACACTGACTGGCAGTGGCTCCCCAGTATTTCAGGCAGAAGTATTTCCTTAAATCTACCTGGAGATGCTGGGAACAGGAGCGAATGAAGGAGTTGTGACACCCGGGGCGGGGCATCGCTACATAGGGCACATGTGCCGCGTCACTACTTATGGTGCATGTGCCGTACGTAGCGACGCTGCACATGCGCTGTACATAGCGGTTTGCCGGCGC